GTCAACAAATAAAACGCCCTTATTCGCCAAACTTGCTAATTTTATTGGAATGTGACGCCTCCAACACTGGTTTTGGAGCTGTGTTGTGTCATTTAGTAAAAAAAGGTATTAGCAGACCTATCGCATTTGCCTCGCGAACATTATTGGAGTCAGAGAAAAATTATGCACCAATAGAAAAATACGACGAGCACTTTTGTTTGGAATGGAAAAATTTCGTACTTTCATTTTTGGTCGAAAATTTATATTGCGAACAGATCACAAACATTTGGAAAAATTATTTGGTGATAAACGGGAACTACCAAAAATATCCAATAGTCGATTAACGCGCTGGACTTGGAAAATGTCCGCGTATGATTTTGATATTGAATATGTTCCAGGAAAAGAAAATAAAGTAGCTGATACTCTATCTGGACTGCCAGTAGAAGGCATAGAATCAAATAACGATCAAAAACATGCGTTAAAAATCAGAGCTATAAATTTGCGCGATATAAATATTAGTCAAGTTAAACTCCAGAAGGAAACAAGGAATGATAGCTTGTTTAAAAAAGTAGTTAAAAACATTGAGCGTGGATGGGTAGAGTTTGATGAAAAAAAAGATACAGAGTTAGTTTGTTTTATAATCGTAGAGAGGAATTGTCAGTAGAACATTGATGTTATTGAATGGAATGGGAAGTTGGTAATTCCAACCGTTTTGAGGAAAATCAATATTAACGATTATACACAGAGGGCATCCAGGAATAAATGCTATGAAATCAATTTTTTGAATGTATTGTTGGTGGCCTAATTGCGATAAAGACATTGAACAATATGTTCGTGAATGTATGCCAAATCAAAGTAACCGGTCAAATATTATGGAGGTTCCTTTATATTCGTGAAACATATCTAATATGCCATGGGAACGAATTCATTTGGATTTCGCGGGGCCTATTGATTCGTATTCATGGTTAGTTGGAGTTGATGCACATACTAAATAGGTTGAGGTTGAGTTAATGAGAGAGACCACGTCCACGACAATGATCAGGGCTTTAAGGAAATGGTTCGCACGGTTTGAAACACCTAAACAAATTGTATCAGATAATGGACCTCAATTTATTTCTGGAGAATTTCGAAAATTTTGTTTCGATAAAAATATTAAATTGATACATACAACACCGTACCAACCAAAAACGAACTGTTTAGCGGGATGAACAATACGAACCCTCAAGAGTGGATATTTTGCAAATAGGAAAGACATCAGGGAGCTAGGATCAGGGAGCTAGGAAGCCATGGGAGCATTGGCGTACGCAGCGGGGGGGGCAGGGGGACAAATCCCTCCCCCCCTTCCCCAAAGCCAAAAAATGCAGATGCCGGATTATATTTTTCAAAAATATTATTGTTAATATTAATTCCCATCTCATATATATATATATATTTAATTACATTTATTTATCACATTCATCTACTAAGTTATTTTATCAATCAATTTCGATTTCAAGTTTTCCTTGGCGTAATTTACCTATTATTTTCAAATTTTAGTGGCGTAATATTTATCTAAATTTCTAGTCAAATAATAATTATCTCTGAAACTCCTTGTCCAACAGGGAGAAAGAAATTGCAAGCTTGTCCAACGAGATCGAGTCTCCGCAACAGTAACAGCTATTATGAAGTTAGAAGAGCCGATTATTAATGTTATTACTGAAATATCACAATGGCTTGAAAGAAATATTTCCTCAGAAGCAAGAAAATTATTGGATTCAATACTTATTCCAAATTTTTTTTCTCATTAGAATGTATTATTTAATTATACAACTATTTTATGTAATACTTTTCAAAACATAACAATGACTTGATTAAGAAGATGAGAATAGCGGAGAGCATTTTATTAGAACTCAAGGAAATAGAGCTAATGTTGTTGAAGAATTTCATATTTTATATGTTATTGTTGAGTCAAGAGCAGAGCTATACGTGTTTAATATTTGTCCCCCTCGACTTGCAGCAAGCAAGCTCATCGTCAAAACATTAATATAGGATCAGTAGAAGAGCATTATAAAACAAATGTCCCCTTTCCCAACCTTTTTCATATGGTGATAGAAGAAAAATATAAATATTTATTAGATTTTTATCATGAAGATGTTAAAATATTTTATGATGCCTTATTAGCCGAATAACTATGATTAAAAGATAAACTATGGTTGATACAGTCCCAAAAAATGCTATGGATGCTTTTTATTTCAAACACATTTTAGATTATACTCCCAATTATTAAAATGGTTATATATATTAGCAGCTCTTTAGTAAACTAATGAGAGAACATTCACTTTTTTAAGAAGAATAACAGAGCTTTGCAGAGGTACCATTTGCAGGACACGGCCCAGATTTTTTTTAAAAAATTATTTCCGGCCCGGGTTTTTTTTTAAAAAATTTTCAGGCCCGGCCCGACTGGCCAGTCCCGAATTTTTTTAAAATAAATTATATTTATTTTTGATTTTTATAGCTAATAATGGCGATTTCAAATATTTGGTTTTAAAATATACAGCTCGGCCCGGATATTATTTCTAAAAAAATTTTCAGGCCCAGCCCGGGTGTTTTTTTTTAAAAAATTACGGGCCCGGCCCGGGAATATTTAAAAAAATTAAAATAAGAACATACCTATGCATCTGAAAGTAGATTGAATGATTTGGATCTTTTGAATATTCATAGACATTTAACGCCAAGCAAGGATTGATAATTGAAAAATTAGCTCAAAACATACAAAATACAATTATTCCTAAGAAACTTTTTAATTTATATTTCCAACATTTAAATTTTTTATACTTTATATATTTTAAAAGCTCAAAAAATTCAAATTTCAATTTTGGGTCATTTAAGTGATTCATATCGTGGGTTATATTCACTTTATATTTTATAATTCACATTTATTTTATAGTTTTTCAATGCCTTATATATAATTTTTTTAATTCACATTAGTTTAAAATTGTGTATTAGAAAAGTTATTAATCCTAATAAATTTATGCTTAGTATTTTTAATTAACAATATTATTTCTTAAAAAAATTTATTATCCCCCCCCCCCCCCCCAGACCAAATTCCTGCGTACGCGCCTGCATGGGAGAAGTTTTGATAGCATATAGAATGGGTGAACATCAATCAACTGGACGTTCACCGGCAAAGTTATTATTGGGGCGAAATTTAAAAACGGGATTAAATTGGTTACATCCAAATGTTAGGGATGAAATGGAACGATCGAATAAACGACAGCAGCGCATGATGAACATAGTCAAATGAGGGAATTTGAGATTGCACAACCGGTATGGGTGCATAATGAAATAAATTCAGGTTGGAGAGAAGGAGTTATAAAATCCAGAACTGGTAGATATTCTTATTTGGTAGAAAGCAAGGATAGAATGGTACGAAAGCATGTGGATCAACTTTGAAAAAGGGAGGTAGCTAAAGAAATGGAGAAGTCTGGGCCAGTGGAAGAAAATAAAGAAAATATGAAGTCAGAGAGAGATGAAGAAAATGGAGAAAATATGGAGTCAGAGAGAAAGGAAGAAAATATAAAAAATAGAGAGTCGGATATAGTTGAGATTTTAGAAAATGTGGAAGATAACGGAAAACTAGAAACGCGGAAATCACAAAAACCTAGGAAACCTACAAATTGGCTGATTGACGAGTTGTAAGATCATATGTGTGGGGATATGTTATAAATGAGATATATTATTAATGTTATAAATGTCATATACAAATCAATCATACATATATATACCAATTGTCATGTGATAGAATACTTGATTTACATATACATATTAAATAAATAAATTGTATAAAGACTATAACATATTTAAACATAAAATTTTAGATTTACTTACAAATTCATTTTCTAAAATTTTATTATATAAACTGCAAAGAAAGTGATCTTAGAAAAGTGGAGATAGAAACAGTTAATTTTAGAAAATAAGAGTGAGAAAAATATTTAATGGCGAAAATCTTGATTTTTTTTTTATATGTGAGTGCCAATGAGTGATTATTAACTTTAGATTATTTATAAATTTAAGACAATTTTGCCATCGAGTCCTTATAATTTATATAAAAAGATATGAAAAAATAATGAAAAAACTTATAAACACTTGTATAATCAAGCTAATATTTTGTAAAAATAAAAAAAAACCATTTCTAAAATTTAAAAAGGCTGTTGTTTCTGACCCCCTCCCCCATTCTAGAAGATTATGATTGCCTTATTTTAATATACCTGTACTAACATTATTTTTTAACGATTTATGCAATAAAATAGTTTGAAACAGTGTTCCTATTCAAATGTAACTTTAAAAAATTAATAAACATGCAAACAAGATGATATAAATGTAACTTTTCTGAACTGATCTATTTAAGTCGTGACGATCAGTACCGTCCCTAAATATTTGCCACCCTTAGGTAAGAATATCAATTTGTTAAAAACACAATAAAGGATGTGCTTTTAGACTAAAAATAAATTCATGTCATGTCATTCTAGTCTCCATTTCACATAAATTTAATATTTTTTGAAATTGTAATCACGTGGCCTTTTTGTTACTTTTTACGTTGCCCAAAGGCAATGCCTAACTAAGGTAAGTCTTAGGGAATTCTCTGGTAGCACTCAATTTGATTTACATGTTAGAGTGGAGCTCATTTTAATTTATAACCCATTCAATAATATAAACATATCCTTAATGATTATTGATATAATTTATTCTTAATATATAGGGATGTTAACCTCTGTAAGAGTTATAAATTAAGACTATCACATTATTATCTCCATATTAAATTTTATTTAAATAATTATGAAAATAAAATTATGCCGATCTAATTTGATTTAGGGTAGCATAAGTCCGTGGTAACCAATGATTCAATATTTAAAAATTATTAATCCAGTGTAGCCCTCAATTTTCTACTAAGTAGGTTACTCTTTTATAATCAATTAATTTTAAAATGGTATTTGTATTCTCTTATTGAATATATATGTGTCATTTTAATAAAATTTTATTACCCGAAGATATTAATACTATCGCGCTATATATAGCTATTTCAGTCTCGTCCAGTTTTAGCTTGTTAAATCTATCCACGAAATCGAACATTACTTCGAAAATATTTGAATTCATACTATTGCTCGTGTTTTTGTAATGGTCATTCCACTAAAAAAATATTTTTTTTCATAATATAAAATAAGTGGGTCACCTCAAAAAGGTTGCAACATTTAAGAGTTTTCATTATAATTTCTCTAAAATTATGAAAAAACCTTATAAACAGCGATAGATTTTATTCATGAGAAACGGGCCAAGGGGTGACTCTTATTAAACCTTAACTATGTTACATTTATATTTGAAATTTTAAGAATTTTTTAAAATATACAGGAAAGTTTTATTATGTCAGGAAATCATATTTTCTGGGAGGTGAGGGATCCCAAACCCTCCTTGTCTACAGCCAGCATGGCAGCCAAATAGTAATTAATAACTTGAATATCTGAGTCACAGTCTCATTTAAAGTTATTGGTTATATTGAACTCTACTTATTAATCATATTGAGATGTGAAAAGGACACAGAGTACTATATTAATCAAAGGTATATTATATATAAAACTATTTATATTACCCAATATTGGTTCGAGGAGTCCAGGTGCTTAGCCATTCGAATTAATAGAACTTCGAAAACACCGGTCTAATATATATATAAAATTTGTATATACCATTTTTCTAAAACTAGTTTTACTTTTACAATAAATCTCATAACGGTACTCTCCCATTCTCATTATAATTTGATTATTGGAAAACACTGATAATTTGATGATATTTTTATAATTTCTTGATGAAAACCCATGTTACCCCTCTGAATATTGGGAATGTTGTAGAAGGAGATCAATATTCAATTTCGCGATCGATATGGATGAATTTAAGACAAAGACCAACAAAAATTGACTCCAGATTGATAAAACAAACTTATTAGTCAATAAAACATGCCCACTTTATATTTATTTCTGCCGGCTTCCCTCTTAAATAAAGAACTACAACGCCTTTTGATTACATGTAACAAAATATTGTTCATCGTTTACTATTTTAATATTTTATTTATAAAATTACGTGAATTCATTATAAAATAAAGGAATATGTTTTGATTTAGAATTCGATTTTAACGGTGACTTCAAATAGCATCATTATTAGTGTCGTTAAACGGCTAGATTTTAGTCGATTTTTTAAAATGGCTAACTCAATATTTTTTCCAGAAAAATAATACCAGGCCTGTAGATTTGGCTCATAGATGGCAAAAAAGTTAGGAATCTATTAGAAAAATCTCAAGGTTTAGGCAATATTTGTTTGGATAAAGCATTGAGTTAGCCGTTTTTAAAATCGACTTAAATTGAGCCGTTTAACAGCTCTAATTATTATCTAACTGGCGTACGCAGCGGGTAGGGGTGACAAATCCCAACCCCCCCCCCCCCCCCAAAGCCAAAAAATGCAGATGCCGTATGTATTTTTCAAAAATATTATTGTTTATATTAATTATTTGTTAATATTTATTCCTATCTCATATTAAATATTTAATTACATTTATTTATCACATTCATCTATTAGTTATTTTATCAATTAATTTGATTTCAAGTTTTCCGGCGTGATATTTACTTATTATTTTCAAATTTTTAGTGGCGTAATATTTATTTACCATTTTCAAATTTCTAGTTAAATAATTATTATTTCTGAAACTCATTATCCAACAGGGAGAAAGAAATTGCAAGCTTGTCCAACGAGATAGAGTCTTCGCCATCAAGTGGTAACAACTTTTATGGAGTTAGAAGAGCCGATTATTTGCTATTACTGATCACAACGGCCTGAAAGAAATATTTCCTCAGAAGCAAGAAATTTATTGGATTCAATGCTTATTCCAATTTATTTTTTCTCATTAGAATGTATTATTTAATTATACAACTATATGTAATACTTTTCAAAAACATGACACTGACTTGATTAAGAAGATGAGAATAGCGGAGAACATTTTATTAGAACTCAAGGAAATTAGGGCTAATGTTAATGAAGAATTTCATATTTTATATGTTATTGTTGAGTCAAAAGCAGAGCTATACTTATTTAATATTTGTCTCCCTCGATCTGCAACAAGGCAAGCTCATCGTTAAAACATTAATATAGGATCAGTGGAAGAGTATTATAAAACAAATGTCCCCTCTCTTAGATACATTTATAACCCAAATAAATGAATGGGTTTAAATTCATCATGCAACACTTACCAATCTGCAGACATTACTTCCACAAAAGCCTTACCAACCTTTTCAGATGGTTATAGAAAAAAAAATATTTGTTAGATTTTTATCATAAAGATGTTTAAGTATCTTATGATGCCTTATTAGCTGAATAACTATGTTTATATTAACTATGGTTGATATAGTCCCAAAAAATGCTATGGATGCCTTGCATTTCACATATTTTAGATTATATTCCCAATGTATTAAAAGGGTTTATATATATATTAGCAACTCTTCCCATTAGTAAACTAATGAGAGAACATTCTCTTTTTTAAGAAGAATAACAGAGCCCTGCAGAGGTACCATTTGCAGGGCACAGCTCGGATTTTTTTTAAAAATTTTTTACGGCCCGGTTCGAGTTTTTTTAAAAAAATTTCAGGCTCACCCCGGCTTTTTTTAAAATAAAACTTTCAGGCACGGCTCGGATATTTTTTAAAATAAATTATATTTCTTTTTGATTTTTATAGCTAATAATAACGATTTTAAATATAGGCTGTTTTTAAAATATACAACCCGGCCCGGATATTTTATTAAAAAAATTTTCAGGCCCCGCCCGCGTGTTTTTTAAAAAATATTTCGGGCCTGGCCCGGGTATATTTAAAAAATTAAAATATGGTCCGGCCCCCGGTCTCTGAAAAACATACCAAGATGTAAAACTTCTGAAAGTAGATTGAAAAATTTGGATCTTTTAAATATTCATGGGCATTTGACGACAAGCAAGGATGAGATAATTGAAAAATTAGCTCAATCCCAACGAAGATTGGATTTTATATATAAATATATAACATACAAAATACAATTATTCCTAAGTAACTTTTTGTGTATTAATTTATATTTTCAACATTTAAATTTTTTATATATAAATTTTAAAGGCTCAAAAAATTCAAATTTCTATTTTGGGTCATTTAAGTGATTCATATATATTCACTTTATATTTTATAATTCACATTTATTATAGTTTTTCTATACCGCCAGTTATATCTGTTTAATATTTTTTAATTCACATTTATTTTATAGTTTTTTATATGACGGTTTATACATATAATTTTTTTTATAAATTAATTTAAAATTGTGTATTAGAAATAGTTATTAGTTTAAATTTATGCTTGATATTTTTTAAAAACAATAATATTTCTTAAAAAAATTTATTATCCCCCCCCCCACCCCCACCCCTAATTCATGCGTACGCGCCTGCTACCTGGGCTATGGATCGATTTGGTTGAAGAGTGATTATTTATAAATTATAAATCAATTTAATCAAATAAGAAAAAAGGTAAATATTATTCTTACTTTTAATAATGTTATTTGATCCTCTTGCTCTAAATTGACAAATCTCGGAATTCTTTTAGCAAACTCTACTACTTCGTGAATAGCTTTGGTATAGTTAGTTATAATGAGAGAGTTGTCTCCATATTTCCCATTTCCATCCGTGCAAACGGTCGGGCTAAACAACATGCTTATTGGGCAAAGCTTAAATATCATAAAATAATGTTTAAAAAAATGTGTTAAGGATGAATAATTTTGCAATTATATTTGACTTAATTTACCTGGGAGTCCGAATAATACATTGGGCATGGAAAGTTATAAGACGTTTATTTAAGGTTCCAAGAATTTGAATAAAATCTTCCGCCTCAAAATAATTTTCGCTAATCATTTTTGAGCAAAATAACATTTAACAGAAATTACTAATCATTTTATTGCCACCAAAATTGATTTTCCTATCTATATAGGTAAGTATATATTTTGCTCATATGGGGGAAATAACTTTTAGGTGGCTTCCTCCTTATAAATGCTATTGAAGGAATATAGGCCCACTCTTTGCAGGCTTTGGGGAAAGGTGGTTACATTTTTTAAATAATTTTTGTCGGTACTTTTTTTAAAAAAATGTTTTCCTTTGAAAAATTTCAATCAATTAAAGTCAGAGGCGGCGCGGCAAATTAATTTTAAAAATACTCAGATTAAAATTATGTATAAACTCAGATAAACCTCTTTCAAATGAAATTTTGTACAATAATATTGCTGAAATTGAAATACTCCCATTATAACTCAAAATCAGGGATCCAAATCGAACCTGAACCGTTAAACCGCTAAAAACAGGTATTTTTTATCAAACCCAAACCTAACCTAAACCGTTAAAAAAATTACTAGCCGACCTGAACCGAACCGCTAAAATGCCTTTGAACCGGTTCGAGCCTCATGATTTTATGCCTATAAAATAATATGCAAGTTATTACTAGTATATTGCAAAAATTTTAATTATATTCGAATTGTTTTAAAGATGATTATCAATCACATTTGATTGATAAGTGTCAGTCATAATTTTTATAAACTTTATTAAATATATTAAGTTTATAAATTATAATGCCTAGAGAAAATTAAATCTAATATATAAATTATTCAATAGTATTATAAATGTCACATCAAAATGTAATATTACTGATTGTCATATAAATATGAAAGACCATCATAAATCTTGAGCGTCACATAAAAAGAAACCACCATCTAGAATTCGATAAAAAGAAACCACCATCTAGAATTCGATAAAATTAACAAAATATCACAACAAGAGCCTAATAAAATAAAAAGGTTTAAGATGTCATCAAGTCAACAGACGCTAGAAGAAGCATTAATAGAATAAAAACTAAATACACTTTTGATGGCAGACCATTCAAATCAATCGATGATAGCGGTTTTAAAAAAATTCTTGATCCTATATTAGAAGACGTAAATAAAATTAAAATTATTTCACAAAATATTCAATCTAATGTTGCAGAGTAAGCCTTTAGTATTTGGCAAAATATAATCAAAGAAATAAATATTATAGTTAATTTTTATAAAGAACCCATGTTAAATATAACTATGAATATTTTAAACTATTGGAGAAATCAGAGTAATCGATGCCCAGAATTATGTAAATTGTTTGATATCATCCTATCAGTGCCAGCAACACAAGTTAGTGTGAAAGATGTTTTTCAACAATTAAATTTATACTATCTTTTTATAGATGTATGAGTGAGACGAATCTTGAAAATATATTAATTGTGCGGCCTAATAAAAAAAATTTAAGTAAATAAAGTTAACATTGTTCATATTAAAATTAATCATTGATATTTATTTGTATTATTTATAATTTAAATATTATTTTATAATGTGCAATTAATAAAAATGAAGGTTTTATGTATGTTTTTTATTTTAATGATGAAATAAACAAAATATACCTCCCTATACATAATTCGAATGTAGATTTTAATATAAAAATGTTCAAACCGGTTTTTAGAGGTTCGAACCGAACCGATATATTTATTTTTTACGAATCGAGCCTGAACCTTGAACCGTTATTTTTATCCGAACCTGAACGGAACCGATATTTGTTTCGGTTTGGATCCCTACTCAAAATACTTATCCTGATTTTTATGAAAATTTTTTAAATGGGAATATCTATCAACCTTGGTTCACCTACCTTTTAAATCAAGGGTTTAAATTTCTATTTCTTTAACAACACTAATTAAGAAAGTAAATTCAAATTCTCTTAAAGTATGGGAAAATCTTTTAACCTCCATTTTAAGCCTTAATTAAACCAACATATAAAAAAATGTCTACATTATCATATTAAAAATAGAATAGATCTTTTTTATGACGTAGAAATAAAATTATAAATTTTTTTAAAAAATACAGGGGACATATAAGCCATTGGCAATAAACAATTTTTGTTCAACTTTTATTGATTCTCTCCTCAATGTAGAAAATGAGTCCTCAAAAGAAACTGTTGATGCCACAATATTAAGATCTGCTGAATAGAATGTATATAATTTTTTAAAGGCAATATGATATCTTTTTTTATTCTTAATATTAATAATATTTTCAAAATCTTTTTCGCTACTTCAGTCGCTATTAATCCCTTTGCGATATGATTAGTGTTTGGGGGCCTGGATTTTTTATTGGGGGGGGGGGTTTCTAGGGCTTCTGATGAATTTAAGTTAGAAGGTTGCAGATCATTATTCACTATCTTTGCCGTACTTTACTGGGTTTTCCTTTAGACCTCTTACCACATATTTCCATTATTATTTATTTCTTAATCTAATCTGTGCCTGTCATACGGTAGCCATGGTATGCCCACCTCAGTCGATGTGCGAGTAGAAGGTCAGAAATCGGTAAAATACTTATATTTTCTCTAAACTCAGAAATAGTTTTTTATTTCAACCCATCTGTATCTTATCTTTATTTTATGGTCATGTCCTATCTGTACCATATGTTATAGCTGTAAAATGAAAAGGCTTCAAGGTTGGAAAAATATGGCCTACGCGTCAGCTTACTAAGACAGTGTATTCAACTTGCTTCTTGTAGGAAAGATCTTAGGTCTACAATACATCAAAATGGGGATTGTCATGACGAGGTTAACGCTAGGATACAGATGGGTTGGATGAAATGGCGAAGCGTATCAAGGGTGCTTTACGAGAGAAAGGCGCTACTTTGGCTTAAAGGTAATACCCATCGAATCATCACCAAATCAGTTTTGCTCTATGGTTTACAATTTTGGCACTACGAGCTTCAAATAAAATGTTGGATGACCAAAATACGAAGAATCAGATGGAGCTTAGGCTATTATACCAAGCTAGATCGTTTGACCTATGATGGCTTAAGAAAGAAGATGGGCGCAGCTAGCTCCTGTCGGAAATGACTGAAATGGTATGGACATGTGCTAAGGAATGACTAAACTGACATGGACTTGCAAGTCCTCTATCTCCAAGTACCTGGACAAAACTAGAGGAAGGCCACACGACTAGGTTGGACTTTTCAGACAAGGACATGTTGAATAAGAAAATGTATGCTGATGGCTTTAAGCCAAGTCATATCAAAGGATAGGACTAATCTTAATGACCCCAGCTAGTCTATGATGAACAGGAAGATGTTTTTATGGGTTATGATAGGAGTCAACAACATTTTCCAGTCACATCTAATTCTAGTTGTGATTACAAGAACAGAATGAATTGCCTTGGGAAATAAGCATATCACCTAAATAACAAAACTGATCGACCAAATATTGATACCGCAGTAAAAAATATTGGTCATTGGGGCAATAATATTATTATTATTGTTGAACACAACTCTGGCAGGTAAAGTTTACCTATCATAGCTCACCTTTAATCCTTATAAATCTTTTATGAATTTAGTTTTTAAATACACGACTTTGTATTTTTGGTTTATTATTTATCATTATTTTAGTTTTAGAAAAATAAGTTTTCATACCCTTTTACAGAGCCCTCCTTGTGTTAGTCTGTCTAGCAGCTGTTTGATTTGACGCTATTAGGACTAGATCATCCGCTAGGATTTCTCTTGTAACTGGGTTAATTATTATGTCAATAGTATGTGATTTCACACAGAGCCTTGATGAAGCCTTATGATTTCGAAGCTCTACATCACTATATTTTTTACTTTTATAAATGTTGCAAGCTTTTATAAAGCTATAACTATTTTAATAAACTCTTTTTCGATACCATTTCCATGAAGGACCTATTGAACTAATTCTATCGGGACTAGAGTTGCGAAATCGGCTAAAAACTACGCCTAAGCCTAAAAATCGGCAAAACCTAATTAGGCTAAGCCTAAAAATTGGCTAAAATAAATTAGTCAAAAATTCTGCATATTTATTTTATTTATATTTAATGTGAATATTTTATTATTATCAACAAATAAACATATGATTTAATATTTTTTATTTATATTGTTTTATTTAGAAATGAAAATAAATTTATTTATTTGATGTTTTTTTAATAAAAAAAAATAAAATGCTGCTATTGTAAAAATGTAATATTCTTTTTAATATAATTTATTAGTGATTTTCACAATCTTCTTTGTAAATACATCTTTTATTGAGGAATTATATTGTTAATTTTATTAGATAAAAAAACAATCTTTTAGGTGAAATCTATTATAATTTTTTTTTTATCAATTTTGTAAAATTATCTATTTTTTTATTAAATGAGGTGTTTTTTTTAAAATAATTTTTTAAAATAATTTTTTAAAAATATTTATATTAAACTTTTTTGATGTTATTTTATAAAATCTTTTTAAGGATAATATATTAATGTGACAATTGTCATAATCGTTATTTTTAAAGTTTTTTGAAATAGATTAAAATAAGTATTGATAACATGTTTAAATAAAATTTAGTGAAGATGTACAGAGATAAGTGACAATTGTCATAATCGTTATTTCAAAGTTTTTTGAATTTTTTTGACGAAAATATGTTAAAATAAGTATTGATAACATGTTTAAATAAAATTTAGTGAAGATGTACTAGATAAGTGACAATTGTCATAATCGTAGTTTTTTGACGTAAATGGGCTAAAATAACTATTGATAACATGTTTAAATAAAATTTAGTGAAAATGTACCGTGGAAAAATGACAATTGTCATAATCGTTATTTTTAAAGTTTTTTTAATTTTTTTGACGAAAATATGTTAAAATAAATATTGATAACATGTTTAAATAAAATTTAATAAAGCCATAGATAAGTGCCAATTGTCATAATCGTAGTTTTTAAAGTTTTTTGAATTTTTTTGACGTAAATAGGCTAAAATAAGTATTGATAACATGTTTAAATAAAATTTAGTGAAGATGTACCACAGATAAGTGACCATTGTCATAATCGTAGTTTTTAAAGTTTTTTGAATTTTTTTGACGAAAATATGTTAAAATAAGTATTGATAACATGTTTAAATAAAATTTAGTGAAGATGTACTAGATAAGTGACAATTGTCATAATCGTAGTTTTTTGACGTAAATGGGCTAAAATAACTATTGATAACATGTTTAAATAAAATTTAGTGAAAATGTACCGTGGAAAAATGACAATTGTCATAATCGTTATTTTTAAAGTTTTTTTAATTTTTTTGACGAAAATATGTTAAAATAAATATTGATAACATGTTTAAATAAAATTTAATAAAGCCATAGATAAGTGCCAATTGTCATAATCGTAGTTTTTAAAGTTTTTTGAATTTTTTTGACGTAAATAGGCTAAAATAAGTATTGATAACATGTTTAAATAAAATTTAGTGAAGATGTACCACAGATAAGTGACCATTGTCATAATCGTAGTTTTTAAAGTTTTTTGAATTTTTTGACGTAAATGGGCTAAAATAAGTATTGATAACATGTTTAAATAAAATTTAGCGAAGATATACCGTGGAAAAGTGACAATTGTTATAATCGTTATTTTTAAAGTTTTTTGAATTTTTTTGACGAAAATATGTTAAAATAAAAATTGATAACATGTTTAAATAAAATTTAATGAATATGTACCATGGATAAGTGACAATTGTCATAATCGTAGTTTTTAAAGTTTTTTGAATATTTTTGACGTAAATATGCTAAAATAAGTATTGATTACATGTTTAAATAAAAATTTAGTGAAGATGTACTCTAAATAAGCGACAATTGTCATAATCGTTATTTTTATGTTTTTTGAAGCAAATGGGTTAAAATTAGTGCTATAATTAATTTTATAGGTTAAGAATTTAAAATACAAATATTTATTTTTTTTAAGCTAAAGATAGTTTGATTGATAAATAATCAATTATTAACTCGACATTTTTTTCTTCTATTTTTTCATAAAATTTGATGTAAATATTAATAAATTTTTTTTATTAAATATTTTTTAAGATAATTTTTATTCATATTAGTGTTTTTTATGAATTTTTAAATGTGGTTTTTGTAAATAATTAATTTATGAGATAGCAGTAGAGGTGTTATTTGTATGACCCTAATTTTTAAAATATAATTATTCGTCCCGGCTGCTTTTTTCAAAAAAATTAGGCCTGGCAAGGATTTTTAGTCCGTACTTTATATATTCAGGGCCGGCCAGTCCTAAATTTTTTTAATGTTGTTTTATGTTAAATATGTTATCAATACTTATTTTAGCCTATTTACGTCAAAAAAATTCAAAAATTTTAAAAACTACGATGATGACAATTGTCAATCTATGGTACATCTTCACTAAATTTTATTTAAACATGTTATCAATACTTATTTTAACATATTTTCGTCAAAAAAATTAAAAAAACTATAAAATTAACGATTATGACAATTGTTACTTTTCCACGGTTCATCTTCACTAAATTTAATTTAAACATATTATCAATAATTATTTAAACATATTTGTCAAAAAAATTCAAAAAACTTTAAAAATAACGATTATGACAATTGTCACTTTTCTCTTCACTTAAACATGTTACCAATACTTATTTTAATCTATTTTCGTCAAAAAAATTCAAAAAACTTTAAAAATAACGATTATGACAGTTTTCACTTTTCTACGGTACAAAATTTTATTTAAACATGTTATCAATACTTATTTTAATCTATTTTCGTCAAAAAAATTCAAAAAACTTTAAAAATAACGATTATGACAATCGTCACTTTTCTACGGTACATCTTCACTAAATTTTTATTTAAACATGTTATCAATACTTATTTTAATCTATTTTCCAGGGATGTGAACCCGGACCCTGAACCCTCTGAACCCTCGTATTTTGGCTGAACCCGAACCCTTTTAAAAAGTGGAGGGTTCAAGGGTTCAGGGTAAAAATTTTAACATATAAATTTTTTTTTTAAATAATGTAAAAATATTATTTTTAAAATATAATATAAAATTTTTATAATTTTATTAATTTTTTTCGTGGAATCATTTATTTTATATTCGCGCTTTTCTTTTGATTTTCGTCCTGGATTTCATTTCATTTTATTTAGTGATTGATACCATAAATTATTTTCTAGTGTAAGTAAATATATTTTATTATGTAAATTTATTAATATGCTATGTTATAGAAATACGTTGATTTTTTTGAAAATGAATTATTGTAGTGCAAGTAATAATATTTTAATTGTGATAATTTATTTGCTCTTATTAGAAATACTTGTATTTTGATTTGAAAGTGAAATATTTGGAATTATTTTGTACTGCAAGTAATAATATTTTAATATTAAAGGCTAATTTATTAATATCTTATGATTTTTTAAGCAGTAAATTTAAATGAATCAAAATTGGCAGTGTTTTGCAAATATATATTTTATTATAAGTTAAGGCTAATTTATTAATATCTTATGATTTTTTAAGCAGTAAATTTAAATGAATCAAAATTGGCAGTGTTTTGCAAATATATATTTTATTATAAGTTATCAAATATATTCTAATCATCATATCAAAAAATTAGTTATATGCTGCATCCAAAATATTTTGAAAAAATCTTTAAAATTTTCACAAATTAATAACAAAACACTTGGACACATTTAAGTTTTAAAAAAATTAAAATATTCAAAATCCTTGATATGATTCAAATATTAGTATAATTAAAATAAAAGTTATATAAATATTTAATTTTATATTACCTTTCAGTTATTAAGAACCTATTATTTGATAATAGTTATATTTAGATTTTATTTATATACTTAATAAATACTATGTTGTGAATAATTATATCAATATTTAATAAACAGTTGGAAAACCAATAATATAACCTATTTTGAAAGATAATTTTTCCATAAAATATATATATAAAATTATTATATTTGAGTTAATAAAATTGTGATAGAAATAATATAATTTTCAAGCACCTTTTAAATTATAATTTTATATTTTTACCAGATTATAATTTATTAAATTTAGCACAGCTAAAAATTTCTTTTTCACTTGATCATAATTCAAGTTTTGTTTTTCCTATTTCCTCCCAAATTTTCCTATTTTCTACAAAATATCTAATTTTTAAGTCATTTTTGCACCAGAGGTTCCTGTGCACTCTTATGCTTTCCATAATGATTTTCTGACACTAAAATATATTAATATAAAAGGCTATAATCATTTGGGTAGTAAATTTATAAAAATTAACAGCATTAGGAAAAATTGTACTTACTAATTTTTTTTAAAATTTCAATTTGTAAAATTTTTATAAAAATGAAACTGAACACATTTTTTATTTTTACATTAAAAATAGATTTTCTTCAAATTTTTTTTATATTTTTAAATTTTGGATGCAGCCTTAATAAACAAAATATATATCCTATGTGTCTATACTTTTAAGTTTTTAAACAAATTAAATTTTGTTTTTTTAGTATGAAAATAAAAGATATTTTGTTAGAGTACTATAATGCAACTAAAGGGGATTCTGAGTGCAAAATCTGCCACTTAATGATAAAAGGTTCACACAATACTAACCTGGAAAGACATTTAAAAAGACATCATTCTATAATCTTTGAGGAATATTTAAATAGAAAAACCAAATTTTTGGAAGAAGACATTGTTAAAAAGTCTACTACTATCAGTATTGTAAAGAAGGATCAAAATAATATTGGAAAATTTTGCTTAAAAAAAAGCATTCATATTCAAATGTCTGAGGAGAATTTGATGAATGCTTTAGTTGAGCTTGTTACAATAAATGGAAGACCTTTCAATATTATTGAGGATTCTGGTTTAAAAAAAATTATTGATTCTATTAGTAAGTCAATTGGAACATCAATTAACCGTTTTAAAATTAAGGACTTAGTGGTTGATGAATCGAAAAAAATACAAGCAAAAATTATAAAAGAAACAAAAAACAAATTAATTTCATTAAAAATAGATTCCGCCCAAAGATTAGGGAGAAATATTTTAGGAATAAATATACAATATATTAAAGGAAATAATATAATCTTAAGAAATTTAGCAATGAAGGAGATTAAAGAAAGTTCAACTTCTGAAAATATAAAAAGAATGATAATGGAAACTTTAAATAAATTCCATATTCCTTTAAGAAACGTTTATACCATTACTACGGATAATGGTGCTAATCTAGTCAAATCTATTAAATTATTAAATGAATGTTCATTGGACGAAATGGATGATATAGATATAGATAATGATGATAATAATTTTGAGGACATAAGTGAATTTGACATACCGGAGATAATAAAAGATTTTTCCACGAAGATATACTGTATCAGATGTGCAGCCCACACACTACAATTAGCTATTAATGATTCCCTCAAAAATAATATCTTTAAAACTATAATTGACAAAGTAAGGGATGTTGCTAAATATTTAAGAACTCCTACAATTGTACGAATATTAAAATCCATGAAAAGGCAAATGGCAATATTAGATTGTATTATATCGATTAAAGTTTTTAAAAAAACGATAATACTTTTATTTGTAATTCTTTTGGTATATATACATTTATATAATAATCCAATTTAACTTTTAATAATATGCAATTTGATTAACCTCGATAATATAATATTACATGTCGGAATAATATAATATACATATATAAGGTGACCTTTAAATATATCTTACAATAATAAATATTAAAATGTAACAGATTGCACAACCCGTTGGTCCTCTATCTGTATGATGCTAGAGCGATTAATAAGTTTAAAAGATTTCTGTGATTATTTTATTATAGGATCATGTGAAATCATTTTGTCAGAGGTTGATTGGAATCAAATCAAAGACTTTACTAGGGTGTTGGTTCCTTTGAAAATTATTACATTACGATTGCAGTCAGAACAGTTGTGTTTATCCGATTTTTATGGCATATCGGTGAGATGTCGATTAGAATTAGAAAAATTTACAAGTTCCTTTTCATATGAAATATTAGAAAACATGAAAATACGAGAGCAACAATATTTGAAAAATAGTGTTGTGTATGCCTCAATATATTTAGATCCTCGATATCAGGTTCTATTAAGTATAGAGCAAAAGCAAATGGCAATAGACCATCTCGAGGATTTATGGCATAACCATAATTCTATTATAACAATATATTGGAGGCTTCAACATCTAATGGTTGTAGCGATAGTAATCATGATAGTAATATTGACGATCTCGAAATTTTATTATTAGATAGAGAAAAAAAAATAAAATTATCATTAGGACCAGATAGAAAGGAGAAAAAAATATCGATTGTATCTTTAATTGAAAAATTCTCAGAAGTTAAGAGAATTAATAGGGATAAAAATATTTTAACATTCTGGGAGGAAAATTCTCTAATATATCCTGAATTGTATACCTTGTCTAGATTCGTCATGGCTGTACCGGTGACACAGGTACAATAATTTATATATTATAAAGATAACTATCTATTTTAGATCAGCGTAGAACGTGGATTTTCATCTTTGAAATACATATTGTCTAATTTACGTGGAAATCTCAAAGATGATATTTTAGAAGATATTATGATCGTTCGATTGAATAAAATATTTAAAATATTTCATTTTGAATTATGAATGTGTATATATATTGAAGTATAATAAAAATGAATGAAAAAAAAGTCTTATTTTGAGTCATTATTTTTATGTTCCCTGGACCCGAACCCTGGACCCGGGTCCTTTAAAAATTTATTACAGGACCCGAACCCGGACCCTTTTTTTTGTTGAAGGGTTCACATCCCTTCTATTTTCGTCAAAAAATAATCAAAAAACTTTAAAAATAACGATTATGACAATCGTCACTTTTCTACGGTACATCTTCAATAAATTTTATTTAAACATGTTATCAATACTTATTTTAGCCTATTTACGTCAAAAAAATTCAAAAAACTTTAAAAACTACGATTATGACAATTTTTCACTTATCTATGTATGGTACATCTTCACTAAATTTTATTTAAACATGTTATCAATACTTATTCTAACATTTCATCAAAAAAATTCAATAAACTTTGAAAATAACGATTATGACAATTGTCATTCTAACATTTCATCAAAAAAATTCAATAAACTTTGAAAATAACGATTATGACAATTGTCACTTTTCTAAGGTACATCTTTACGAAATTTTTATTTAAACATGTTATCAATACCTATTTTAATCTATTTTCGTCAAAAAAAAATCAAAAAACTTTAAAAATAAAGATTATGACAATTGTCACATTAAAATATCATCCTTAAAAAGATCATATTAAATAACATCAAAAATGTTTAATATAAATATTTTTAAAAAATTATTTTAAAAAAAACACCTCATTTAATAAAAAAATAGATAATTTTACAAAATTGATAAAAAAAAAATTATAAAAGATTTCACATAAAAGATTGTTTTTTTATCTAAACAATATAATTCCTCAATTAAAGATGTATTTAAAAAGAAGATTGTGAAAATCACTAATAAATTATATTAAAAAGAATATTACATTTTTACAATAGCATCAGCATATTATTTTTTTTATTAAAAAAACATAAAATAAAAAAATTTATTTTCATTTCAAAATAAAACAATATAAATAAAAAATATTAAATCATATCATGTTTATTTGTTGATAATAATAAAATATTTATATTAAATATAAATAAAATAAATTATTTTACTAAAATAAATAATAATTAGTGCTAGGCATCGATGCAGAATTTTTGACTAATTTATTTTAGCCAATTTTTAGGCTTAGCCCATTTTTGGGCTTAGCCTAATTATGATTAGCCGATTTATTCACCTAAAATCTCGGCTAAGCCGTTTTATAATCGGCTAAAATTAGCCGATTACGCAACACTAATTGGGACCAACGCTTTTTCAAAATCAATAAAGTAGAATTATAACGATTTACCTTTAGCCTGGTGTTTTTCCTACAATTGGTGTACCATAATAATATATGCACAAGATTGTTTCAGTGTTGTTAAAGTAACTAACCGGTAACTTACATTGAAAATATAACTAACTGTAACTAGTCATATTTTTTGAAATATAAAAAACAATATGTTACTTTTCAAGTTAATTTTTAAAAATATATCATTATCTTTATATGATGATTACCAAAAGTTTAGTGTAGAGGGCTTAATTTGGAGGAAAAACAGCACGTCTTTTTTAAGCACCAATCTGAAAGCAGTTTATTGTTAAAGTTAAATATTTTATTAAGCTGAATTTTTTTGAAAAATGAATATTAAATTGTGTTATTTATATTATATATATTCTTCAGGTGCATATAAATACTAAATTGTGACATTTTTTAGAGTGCAAATAAATACTATATATTGGGATATAATCATTTTTTGTAAATTGTATTTCTTATGATTAAAATTTTTATGCAAATATTTCGTATGATAATAAACTATATTAAATAAGGTTATAAATATTTTATAAAGTAACTTGCAACGTAACTAATTACTTTTTCAAGAATGTAACTTGTATTAGGTTCAATTACTCATAAATATATAAATGTTAAACTGTAGAGCAATTTTTTTCATAGAATCATATTTTTAGTAAATTTTTTATAAATATATTTTTACATTTCCTTTTTTATTTGTTCGAGTCAAATAAATTATCCCTAGGATAATAAAAGTAGAAATATGGCACGTTGTATACAAGACATAATCGATTAATTAGTGGAAATATAAATTCTTTAACGGCATGAAACAATATAACAAGCAATAACTGATATTCTTACATATTGGGGGAGGAAGATAATTATAACAACCTAAATTCTATCTATTAGCATCAATAGATTTCACAACTAAGTTACAGATTTTGTTTGAAAAAGAATGTTGAGAATTAAAGTATATTCTATCATCAAAGAGAATTAATTATTTATATATATATATTTATATATATATGTTTTATGAACCTTCATTAAAGATTTTATGAATCTGAACCGAACATTTATAAAAAAAATTCCTCAGAACCGTAACCGAACCATACAATAAAAAGTACGACAATCAGGGATATAATTAATTAGCTTAAAATGTTGTTTAGGGTGGGGGTCCCACTTTCCTACGCTGCATATAATATATTAGATATATATATCATCAAATGTCATTTACGTTAGTGGCATTATTTTGCGAAAGGTTAATGTCTTTCAAAGATCCGCCATTCAAATTGCTAAGTGTGTCAGAGTGGGCGTTCTGTAAGATCGTAACTAACGTGTCTAAACGAACGTTTTCGTCAGAATAAAACCCGTTTCCAGTTGATTTATCCTTCAGTTGTATGATGTCATCCGTGGTCAATTTAGACAAGCTGGAGGATTTTGAATTGATAACTCTGCTCATTTCGGCAAGTATTTTAGCTTTCTCCCTTTTTGGAACCCTCCCGAATCTTACGGCTGTATTTTAATTTTTAAAAATTTGAAACTCTGATTTAGGTTACTTAACTTTGTAAAAAATATATCATTCTTGTTCTATTTCCAAATTTCCTCTCTATATTTCTTCAACGATATCGTAATTTTGAACTTAATAATTGGGACAAATTGGCTTATAAGATATATCTGTTTTAATTGAAAAGGTGATTAAAAGGTATTGTCTAGAAAGCCATAGTTCAAAGACCGGCTCAAATTTTGGCTCGGGCCTAAAAAAAATTTCAAAAAATCATTTTTTAAAATCTTGTCAGGATCAAGCTTAAATTAAAAATAAATTGGGCTAGACAGGGCATTAATTTTTTAGAAGAATTCCTACAGATTTGAACAAAATTAAAAAAAAATTGGACATGTTTTTGGGTTTAAAAAAAATGTTTTCCTTTTTTATTAATAAAATAAAATGAATATTTAAATTTCAGGGATTAGGACAAAATATTAGTTTTATGTAACAATAAATATGCCCTAAACTTATATTTTCAATTAAAAATTTGCCAAAAATAAAAATATAATTCGGATCGGACCTAACTTGGTCCTAAAAATAAATAAATTTTTGGACCGTTAAAAATTAATAAAAATTTTGTGGAGAGTCGAGTTGTTGAATTTGAAGGGCTCATTGTTACCGTAATTGAATAAATATGTTAAAGGGGGGGGGGAGTTGATATCCAAATTCCCACATCTCGTGACTATATTATATTAGCTTCCACTTTGTCTTTCATTATTAATGGATGTATTATATTTCTAATTGTTTTGGGGGAAACATGCGTTTTCCATCCTTACTTCCATTTAGAGTGGATTGGATATGTGAGGTTGGAATTTAGGATATTTTGAAATAGCCAATTCGAGGTAGAAACCTAATACTTTAGCACTTAAAAAATAATTATCCTACCCATTATATAAATAAAAGCTCACAAATAAAAAACTCATATAATAACAAGAGACAATTCTAATTTCTATGATCATAGCTCTTAGCATATGAAGATGCTACACTTAAATACATTTGAAACCTCTTCATAAGATGACTATTCATAATTTTGCTCTGCTTTCTAAAAATGATTAACTATATATAGTATAGTAACCAATGCTTCATCTGTGGTCAATAAGAGTAATTAAGTGATCATCTTATTTAGAAGGTTTCAAGTCAATAAAGATTTATTGGAGTTACGAATAATATATTATACCGTCTCTGGACATTCCTACCGCCATGCACTTTTTGAGTCTACAGTATTGGCATCTATTTCTGTTTATCCTAAGGATACTACATTGCTGATTCTTGAGGCAAGGTCTGTACTGTATCTTTTGCTGAATGCTTCTTCTAAAAAAACCCTGAAGTATTTTTTTTAAATGTAATAGAAAAATCAAACGGTAATGTTGAAATCCACTATGCAAAATGGTATTATTGAAATAGATATTTCCTTTTAAATTCATAATGTTTTTAAATTGAATTCTTTGGTTAAATTATGATATTTGTTTAGAAGTAAAATAAAATATTATATTTAGAAATATAATATAATATAAAATATTGTGAATTCTTCGGACTTAACTAATGATTGCAATTATCAGAACGATGAATCGAACTCAATATATTTATAATATTTGATTAAATACTTTTAATAGAGGGATATATCTATTATAATATTAGTATCTAGTTTATGAGTTTGCTTAAATTCAGCCAAAATCATTTATTTATTTTTAATGGTGAAATTTTAACATGTAAATAATAAAAATTAAATACATTGCAATATATAAAACGGATTCGATTAATTTGAACCCATCGAAAGCCAATGCCAATATAAATTAAAATGCCTCAAAATTTACAAATTTGCAACTAAACATAAAGCTGGTGGAAATTCGCAGTTTAATATCTGGGATTTAAAGAGATACCGTTTTAGTTTGTGAATGTTTTTTTTTAAATAGTGGTACTGATTTCTATTCCTAAAATCTTGAAAAGTGATTTATGCTTTTTTTTATTCCAAACTCTGTTAGTAATTATAAAAAAAAATTAAGTAATAACCCTTTAAAATGAAACACACCATTTTTAAAAAAATATATAAATTATTTCCACTTTTGAATATGTTATGAAGGAAATTTTAAAATGGGTTTGGTTCCAATTCTTAAATTTGTCCCATTTCAAGGGTTCCTTCAAGGTTAAGGTTCCGAACTCGGGAAAGTAATTAGATAAAAAAATAACTCGTACAATTCAGTGGCAACGTTCATTAGCCTCAATTTGAAAGGAATGGGTTCACCCTATTAGCCTCAATTTGAAAGGAATGGGTTCACCCTATTAGCCTCAATTTGAAAGGAATGGGTTCACCCTTTAAATTTTTTTTAAGAATTAGCATAAAAAAGAAATTCTATCTAAAATTAGCAAAAAAATATACTTAGAGCCCCCTGCCCGACATTGATAATATTATGGCATGTACATTATATTTTCTCGCTATTGGATTATAAAAAATTTAATCTTCATTTCATTATGTAATTATAAAATTTATTATAAAATACAAAAATATTATATGCCTACTTATATAATTTGTGTAATATATATGTATAATAGGGTTCATTAAACTAAATTTTTAAAATCTCATTTAAGATTACTTATAATCAAATTCACAAATATCATATTTCTTGTTCAGAATGGTAAAATGATACATATAAAATATTGCTTCAAAAAAAAAATTAAAACACGCAAATAAAAATTATTCTTTTCAATAAGGCATAAAAAAAATTCTATTTAAATTCTTATTGAAATCTTAGCCAATTGACCAATCAACAAGCAATTGATTAAACAACCAATTATTGTCGAGACGAGTAATATCATATTTAATCTATTTAACATATTAGTGGAATGATCGTAGACCCAAATTATTAGAGGAGCGTAGACTCCCCAAACTAACCGGTGTAGAAAAAGTTAAAAGATATCTAATTTCTATTGAATGTTTTATCTAAATTTATCAGAACGGAGTTTGTTTTCAAAAAAAATAATATAAAAAAAATGTATATCTCAAATAATAACTTTAGAAAATTTCTATTGCCATTTAAAACTTTTCAGTGATTTTTTATCCAAAAAAGTGATTATAATTGGGTTACAAGTTTATTTTATGAAATTCAATAAGGATTTAAGAAAAATATTTAACTCAAGCTATTTATTATGTCAGTTTTTTTAAATTATTAAATGGCATCTTAGTCCCACCTGCCCGGTCGAAAATAAATTAAATAGTTTCATTTTGAGTAAACTTTTTTTCAACAATTATTTTAAGTCATATAAAAAAAATTTAAGACAATTGGCTTAAAATTTTTAAAAGATTATAAATTAGGGCCGGGCTTATAAAAATTAAAAATCCAGGGCAGGCTGTTAAATTTTTTTAACAATTATAACAATTAATGGATAGCAAAATCTTATAATGAAACGTTTAATAATCATTTACTGCTCATATTTTCAATTTCCCTTTGAAGTTATAAAAATTTCAAAAATAAAAATCCAGTCCGGGCTAAGATATTTCAAAAAAACTAAAAAAAAATTATTATATGAAATCCAGACCGATGTGGGTTAAAAATGCTTTCTTTAAATCAAGGTATGCTGGGTCTAAAATTTTTATCTCTTGTAGATCCCTGATCATTTTCAAATTTTTATGAAATAGTGGAGTGAATATTTGTTAATTTTCTTACACCATTTTTTTAATATTAACAAAGATTTTATGTATCAATATTTTGAACCTAAATATTTTGTTAGTAAAATAATTTTATTATAAATTCTTCTCATATCTAGTAAAATTATGAATAACTGTGATAATTAATTGACCCTGATGATTGTATTGATAAAAACCCCTACCAAAAAGTGGGGCCACTTGGGAAAAATATAAATAGGTTGCATTCAACCATAAATATATAATGGATAATGAAATCTTATCTGATCAATCATTATAATAGGATCCGTTCACATTTGACCTGAATAAAAAGAAACGTATTAAAATTGATTTTTTGAAACATTAAAACATCATGTTTTTTATATTTGTAAAACAAATTTTAAAAGTTAACTTATTTAAACTCTTTTTTAAAGATTTTATAAATGATCTTGATTTATCAGTAAAATTAATATATATCAGAGATCTCTACTACCACATTTTCTAGTGGACCTGGGTTTATGAATTTTTTTTACTGGGCTTGGGCCTAAAATTATTAAATTTAAATTTCGCTTATTTAAAACAGTTACTAACTTATAGAAATATTGCCATTTTATTCTTCTAATTATAAATTCAGTATTGTAAACAAATTGATTGCCTAAACTACACTATAATATTGTTTAAATTTCGCTTATTTAAAACAGTTACTAACTTAAAGAAATATTACCATTTTATTTTTCTAATTATAAAAAATTTCAGTATTGTAAACAAATTGATTGCCTAAACTACACTATAATATTGTTTATTTTTATTAAATACAATAAATAAAATTTTTGGATATGGGTTTGGGCCGGTTAAGGAATTTTTTATCTTTTTTAATAAGATATGTACCGGGACTGTGGCCTAAAAATTTTTCTACTGCTGGCCTGGACCTGGCTTGGTCAAAAAATTAAGGCCCATAAGGTCTCTGATATATACTCCATCCAAAACTTTTAAATTATATTATGTATAAATTTGCAGAAAAGAAGAATTGGTAAAGAAAATGATATCCAAAATTAATAATAAGTTGAATATTTTATCGGATATTTGGACCAGCTAAACATAGGTTCCTATTTTAAGGATAACAACTCATTTTTATTGATAAGAATCTTAAACCAAATAAAATTTAAAAAAAAAATTCTGTCAGTTTTTATGAATTATTTACTAATATTTAAAAATTAATTCAAATCTAATATTGATTAAATTATATAATATGAACGGTAAATTATTCGATTCGAATCATATGAAAAGGCCTAATTTGTAAGAAATGACAATAAAAATATCGTTAATTTATTTTGATTTACAAATTTAGTTCTTCTCGAGATCATCTACACTGACGAAAAATCATCCCACGCTTCCTAACCCGAAAATATTACCTCATCAAACTTCGAGTTTATTCCGAAAAATCTTAAACTATCTGGGCTTAATTTCGTGGAGCCGTTTTGGGGTGAAATCCATGGAAATAGAAATAATTAATATCATGTTAGCCTATCAAAAGTAGACATTAATGACTGACAACTAGCGAAATTTATTTTTTGGGACATGTAGATTAAAAATTATGTCTACTTTCTGTGAAAATTAAATAAATTCAGATCGGTTCTCGCAATTTTGGCCCACGTTTTGTTTATAGAAAACTCCTAAATCAGGGAATTTTTTTAAAATTGATATCGTTTTTATGTTACAATATTTTTTTTTAAAAAAATCGATAATATTTTATCTACCCTTATTTTTTTTATATTTTTTTTGGTTATGCCTTTTTATTTAAAAAAACCAAATGATTATTTATTATGATTTTTGGAAGGGGTTCAATGCCCAATATTTTTTAAACAAAATATCAGGTTATTTTTTACGTTTATATAATTATATGTTTATTTTTATAAATTCAATACTTCTCGTTGTTTACTAATTTTTCTATATTGTAGATGTAAAATAAAACTTGATCTTATATAAATTTATGCTTATAAAAAAAAAGGAGAAGAAAAATTATAAAAGAATAAACCGCATGAGCTTTTTAAACAATTTTAAAAAACATTGGCGGGGGATTAGAAGAATGTTAATTTTTATCATTATCAAGAATAATACCAATCAAAATAACTCGATAATGTTCAATATTATAATAAAATTTTTCTCCATCCCCAAAATGGCCATGATTTCGATTTTAATATAAAGCAAATTAAGAATTCAATTAATGAGAACATTTATTACAAATTAAGAAAATCGATAATGCTCTTAGAAATTAAATGAATGGATAAATAAACAAAGTGAGAATTTGACCCCATTACACCCCCGCCCTCTCAACCAAAAATTATATAAATAGGAATCAAAAATGGACTTCTCAAATATAATATATGATTAAATTATTAGCCTATATTATATATGCCTCAAAAAAAATTTTTTAAATGATAAAATAAAAAAAAATCAATATTATGTCCCCCGAAATAAGAAATCCAAATAAAATTCGATAAAAAATATACAGAAAAATTAACCGCATCAAATTATAAGAAGGTTCAACTCGCTTATATTTCGCTTTAAAATTTTTGGTCCTTTGAGAAACATTAGTATTACTTAATAATACTATACATTGTAAAGAATAGTACTTAGTGTTGATAAATGGCCCGATTTGGGTCGATTTTTAAAAAATGCTAGGTTAAGATTTTAGGAAAATTTATATTATGTAAGCCTCGAGATTTGGAAAATAGAGGTTAAATCTTTCTGCCATCTATGAGCAAAATCTCCAGGATTGCATAATATTATTTTGGCTAAAATCTTAATCGGGCCGTTTTATCGACCCGAACAGCACAAATTTTACTGGTTTCCATCAAAAGCCCAAATAATTATTTATTCGAGATATTGATAGAATAGGAGCATGTTAAAACTAGAGAAGCCAATTTATGAATAGTAGTTTTATTTAGATGGTATACTTACTAAATTTCAAACTGGCTCAAAGCTCTAACCTAAAAAATTAAAATAAAAAAATATTAGGCAGGACAGGGTATAAATCTTTTAAAATATCAGGTCGGTCCGGGCTTAAGTTTAATATAAAAAAATGGGGCCGACCTTAAAAAATGTAAAATGTGTTTTCGTTTCTTATATTAAAATAAATTGATAGTTGGATTAGGGCAAGGAAATTATATTCATCATTTTTATTTTATTTAACTTTATAAAAATGAATTTAATTTTAAAAATTTTAATCAAAAATTCAGGGCCGATATTTGGCATAAAATGAAATCGGGTAACGCTCAGACTCAAAAATAAAATTTCTGATTGGGCCTAAAAATTAGTATGGATTTTCTTAGCTTTCATAATAAAAAAATTCATTATCTATTATAATATATTTATATAAGATTGAGTTTTATAAATATTGAAGGTTGAATAAACCCATCTTCATTTCATTAAGATAAGATATAAATTTAATTGTCATATAATTTTTTATATTTCTTTTGTTAACAAAATAATAATTAATATAATATCTCTCTTTTTTTGAAAGACCTAACGACAATGATTACTTTCAAAATAATAAATATTATGAATAAAAAAATAATAAGTTTTTACTTTCTAACAATTCAAGTTTCAATTTTTTTATACTTCCTCTATGGAGCGAGAGAAACGGAGGTGAATAAAAATCCCCTTTCAAGAATAGCAACAGCCCAGAGATTTTTAAATTGATACACAAAAAACCGACCTGGTTCTTTTAGTAACCTCCTATTTTATGCTAAACTTTGCAAAGTTTCATAAAATTTTAGAAACGATCTATGATATAAACAATTTTTGGAGGCAAAAACTCACATTTTAACTCTTATAATTTTTTTTAAAAATATATAATAATAACAATATTATATAAACTATTGCTGTAAACTTTAAAAGAAACTTGTTACTTTTGAAAAAAAAGAGCAACGCATTAACGGTTATTTGCTAAAATTATATATACCCCCCCCCCCCCCCCCCGATAATAAAATTATATTATACAAAAATAATATTATAAGAAATGTTCTTTTTTAATAATTTTTTTTATATTTTTAACAAGAATTGATTTTCAAAATTATGACCAGCTAAACACGAGCACTTAAACTGTTGTATTATATTTAATAAATAAAAATTTTAATTGGAGGAGTTTATTAAAAATATTTGAAGAATGATCTTATTTTCAAAAACTTATTAGAATATCTTCAAAAATCTTCATTTCAGATCCTAATCAAATATTTTTTATCTATATAAGAATTTAATCTGAATTTATATTTTTACTTTAATGTGTTTTTTTAGATTCGAGCGGTTGGACATCGAGGATGAAATATTTGAACTAGGGCACAATCCACACTTACAAAGTATAGACTTCGTGCCTTTAATTTCCTTTATTTGTGTAAAAAATGTTTCATATTGGGACTAAGGTAGAGTTAATCTGAATAAATAGCTACTATTGACATATATTCTTAAAAAATAAGTTATAAGACTAGAGAATATTAATTAAGGTCGGTCAAGAATTGATTTTTAAAACTAAGAAAAACGATTTTAAAGTTAAGATTCAAATATAAAAAAACTATAGATAAATATAAGTAAAAAATTGAGAGGCAATTTATAATACTACTTCTAAATAGTAGCCTAAAAAATTATACTTGAGAATTTTATTTGATAAAATCAAAATGCAAGTAAAGCAAAATCTTTATGAGTTATTTTTTGTTCAAAATGCTTTTCAATTTTATTTATGAAAATTTATTAAATAAAAGCAAAATAAACAGTAATTACTATAAATCATCAAATTATGTCATATAGACACTTAATCTTTAATTCATTCTTAGAAATAATAATTTAGCTGAATAAAAAATTATGCCAATATTTAGATGGTAATTTTTTCCATACATTATTTATAGCATAGTTTTGAACCAAACCCGGAGCAGAAACCCCGGGTTTTTGAAAAATATTTATGAACCCGAACCGAACCTGAATCCTTTTTGAAAATTTTCTAAAAACCCGAACCGAACCCGGAAATTGTTCAGTAAATTTTATATTTAAATCATATATTAAGATATTTGTATAATTGTAAATACAATGTTAATAATTTAAATGAGATTTTATATATTTACAATTTAATTAAATATAAACATTGAAACCATCCACTCCCATTTTATCAGATGATAATAATTCGGATGAAGTTATTGAACAAGTTGATTTAGAGAAATTGATATAACTTAAAGAAAGACAGGATCAAATACTTAAAAAGGAGCCAAACTATTGCATATAGTAATTAAAATATTAAAATCTCGATATTTATAAAAAAATTATTCAAAATTTGATTATTGTCAAAACTTATATCAATATTTATATCATCTAAGGGGTTCCCAAAAAATTATTTGTTTTAGATATTTTAAAGTATAAATAACAATTCCATATGATCAAGTTCAAGGTTTCCGGCTTTTGCCCATATTTAATATACTATAACATCAGACCTTGGCTCAAATGTGAAATCCTTTTATTATATAATAGTATAGCGAAGGTTGAATATTTTTCAGTATATTTCATTTATCTTTACACCGAAATAAGCCAGCAAATGATTGAGTTAATAATGAATATAATTTTTCTACGACAATCATTTGTTTCTCATTTTTGAAAGCTTAACAGCCAGCTATTAGATAGGTATCGTTTAAAATTTTTCACGACTGTAAATTTTGTCATCCATAACCCAAATTGAAGGAAAAAATTGGAAATAGGACATACTTCGATAACCCAGCTAAGATATTCTACTTTGATCAAATAAAAAAAAATTATTTTAAAAGTTATTTTATTAAGTAGACTATAGCAGCTACTAAGGTCATATTCTAACCCTGAAATTTTTAAGTTATTATCTTGATCTTTTTTTTATTACATAATATGAACAAACGAACGCAGATGGTGGTGATGGTAATATTATTCCTTTATATTTCATCCTTAAGTCTTGATCGTTATCAGTTTTCAAAGATAGATGAAAGTGTCAATGTTTCTTTCTTTCGTTAGTATACATTACACTATATTATAATTTTGCCAATACAATGGGTGATACATATGAAAAAAGAGTGAAAGTTTATCTTACCCTTCCCAATTAATATTTTATTTCTCCCTTCCTTTTTTATAAAAATAAATTTCGGATACAAAATTAATTTTGTTGATCAAAATTGAACAATTTTTTTCAGAATGCATTTTTTTTTTTAAAAAAGCCATATTTTTTATTTTATTTAGTTTTTAAAAGTCAAAACATTAAAGACATACATATTAAAGGTGTAGTAACTTATAAACTAAAAAAAAAATCATTAATTGTATTGAAATAACAATTAACCACTTCTAATCCGATATTTTTTTGAATAAAAAAGCTCTCCGCTGCTACCCCGAATGTTGTGAGAAATTTTTCTACCAATTATTTTTAAAAATCTTATAAACGGGATAAAATTATGATTTGAAATAAAAGAGCATTTTAATATTTTATAAGAGTAGTTCCAATTTTATCATTATTTATGTATTGATCAATAAAAAAACATTGTTATTTAGATGCCCATGTGGCTCAGAAGATTATGAATCTGTTATTATTCTAGAAAAAAATAATTTCTGAGACCGACCTCTTTGACGAAGTTAGGGCAAGGTTAAAAATTAAGAGTAATATCATTTTTTTAAATAACTTATATATTTACTTTAAATTAAGAAAATTATAACGTTAAACGATATTCCTGTTCTTGTGAATGTCAAATTTAAACATCTTATATATGTTCGACTGGGACAGAATCGTCTTTCTTTCTTTCTTTCTATAGAAAATAGAATTGAAAAAAATTTATCACTCGTTATACTCATCTTATGATTTTTCCTAGGTTTTTAGCAGACGTTTAAAACTTTTATTTATACACCTTTTTATATTTGAAAACCTTACTACCCTGTGAACCTTGCCGTGAATTTTTAAATTATACTCTTGATTTCAATTAATTTTTGTAGATTTTCATATAAATTAAAAATATATGTAAAAATTTACGATAAAATTGTCTGAAAATCCACAGGGTAAATATTCTATATGTACATAATGGAATAAATTCCGGGAAAAATTTAGGTTTTAAAAACTCGCTACTGCCTTTAATATGCTAAAGCTCTATGACATATACGTTTTTATATCAATTTTTTTTATTTTAACCTAAAATAATTTTTATATTTACTGAACACGTAGTCAGGGGAGGGGGCAAGGGGAAATTTCCCCTTATGAAATTTACCTGTTCTCGTAAATATTATTTTACGCTATTAAAAAAAGTTTCCCTACACACCCACCCACTCCATCTTCTTTCAAAAATGAATATAACATATGTAATTACACATAAGAATTCAAAGAAAATTAATTAAAGTTAATTTTTTAATTAAAAATTTTAGAAAAAATATTTTTATTAAAAAAAGTGACCCAAAATTATTTTTATAAAAATATAACATAGTAAAATGCCTACAATAGGTGGACCTAAATGCTTCCAACAAAATTTATAGGGAAAACACTCACCTAACCTTGCATTTACAGTTAGCGCGAATTTGAGGTGAAGTATAGAAAATATTATATAAATATAATAATTTTACATTAATTTTTGTACATTTCGTCGCAAATTTTCGCTAGCCGTGAATCAATGGTAATAGCCCCCCCCCCTAGTAAAATCCTGGCTACGTCTATAAGCCTGCAATATACGGCTGCAGAAGAATGAGTAAATTTTGATAATGAAGTTTATATTAATTAGTAGTGTTGTTAAACTGCTTGATTTGAACCGATTTTAAAAACGGCTAACGGGAATCGATCACGATTCGGCCGACCCCTTTTAAAATTGTTTTCTGGAATTATTTAGATAGGTAAAAGAGTGAGAAAGCCGTTTATTTTAGCTCGCTAGCAGCCTGGTTCTCGAGATATAGGGGCTCAAAGATACAAAAAAGAGCCACTTTGGAATCTGTAAAATTTTTAAAATTCTTATATCTCAAAAACTATTTATAATGAAAAAATTATAATATATCATTTTGTAGGTAAAGAAATTCTCTAATTAACCAAGAATAATAAATATTGGCGCCATTATAGGCTTTTAACATTCGGTTTACCTAAATTGCTTTACCTGTATTTTTAAGCAAAATAGTGAGTTTGTTTTCGAATTTTTTTTATTGCTTTTTATTTAGATACCTTTGCTAAATATATAAACAATATCAAAACCTTGGCGACGCTATCGACTTGAAAAATTGATAAAAAGTAGATGGCGCTTTATGAAATTACGGATTATGGTTAAAATTTTGCTGCTAACTTATCAATAACCAGATTTTTTCACTTTTTATATTAAAAAATTTTGATTTTCTATTAAATATACTAATTAACTGAGGAGTAGAGTGGGTATATGCCCATTAGACACTGAATTTCCAATAATAAATATCTTTCATATAATTTTTTTAATTTTTAAGGTATCTACAATTTCATCGAATTTATCATCATTTGATGAAGATAATGGTATAATTTTAGTCGTTAAAACTTTTTTTTACTCTAGATATTTTTTTTTTCGAATATTTTCACAAAGCATTTTCTTTTAATGAGAGATTCCCCATTTGATTGTAGGGATATATTAATGTTATCAATAGCCTCTTGATTTTATATATGAAGGGGAGAATCAATATCTACATTGTTATTTGAAGTATAAGGAATGTTTGCTAATTTTTGTCGCCATAAAGAGCAGATTAACATATCTAAATTGAATGGTAAATTTTTGGGGGTCATCCAGGGTAGAATCTTTCTTAGATTCTAGCTATAATAAGCATGTCTCTGTAGATTAAATGGGTTGCAACATTTTAATATTTGGTATGTCCATCTGTGATATAGAATAAAATTTTAATTGATCTACACCTAGAATACATGTTTTTGCACTCTCCAAATCCAGATTGTTATTGGTAGACAGACGATAAAATAGATCTGAACGGACAGGTTAAAATTAATTCGCAGAAAGAGATATCATCTTAAACAATTTATTTTGTAAAATATAATTGAATATATGCCTAATAAAATATACGTTTTTACTGCAGCTGTTATATATTATCGAGCTAATAAGTCATTCGCTCGCTATAGTAACAAAGTAGAGATCTAAAAAATGTAAAACATTTTAAGGATAGTGGGAGGGGGGGGGGCAGAACTGGGAAATTTTATCACAATTCTTATAAATATATCAATATTTTCATTTTCCAGAATAATATTTTTCAACCATTAGGGCCCTTCAATTTTTGGTAAAAATGTATATTTCGGAAAAGTCGATAGCATCTCCAAGGTTATGACATCGTATATAAATTTATAAAAAGTGTCTGCATAAAAAGAAAAAAAAAATTAGAAAACAAACTCACAATTTTGCTTAAAAATACAGGTAGAGCAATTTAGGTAAACCGGATGCTAAAAGCCTATAATGGCGCCAATATTTATTATTTTTTGTTAGCCCATTAGAGAATATCTTCCTAAAAAATGAGATATTATAATTTTTTTACTATAAATAGTTTTTGAGATATAAGCATTTTAAAAATTTTACAGATTCCAAAGTGGCTCTTTTTTGTACCTTTGAGCCCTTATATCTCGAGAACCAGGTGTGCTAGCGAGCTAAAATAAACGGCTTTCTTATTCTTTTACCTATCTAAATAATTCCCGAAATTTTTAACAATTTTAAAAGGGGTCGGCCGAAAAAGTGCCTTTTTGATCGATTTGACATGGAATGAAAATATTGCCTAAGCGTCTAGATTTTCCAATAGATGTTCAATTCTTGTGCCATCTATGAGCAAAATTTTTAGGCTTGCATAATATTTTTCTGGATAAAATTTTGAGTTAGCCGTTTTTAAAAATCGGCTCAAATTGAGCCGTTTAACAACACTATTAATTAGTATTATATTAAAATAACTTTGATAATAATAAATAAATTGTCATTTAGATGCGTTTTTTTTAGTGTTATTAAACGACTCGATGTGAGCCGAGTTTTAAAAACGATTAACAATATTTTGGCCAGAAAAATATTGTCTAAGCCTCAAGAATTCGCTAATAGATGTCCAAACCTTTGTTTCAATATATGAGCAAAATATTTAGGCTTGCGTAATATTTTTCCGAATAAAACATTGAGTTATCCGTTTCTAAAAATCGGCTCGAATCGAGCCGTTTAACATCACTATTTCTTTTGGTAAAATATTTTATAGATATATTCTTAAGAAAATTAGCACTTTTTAGTACCCACTTTTTAAAACGTCTAAAGATCCGCCTGAAAAAAAATTATAATGATCATAAAATACCTTGCAACCCTCGCAAGAATGCACTCCGTAATGAAATCCGCTGGCTTTATCTCCACAAACCCTGCAAAGCACTGTCGTTCCATCGAATTCTAAGGGATGATAATGTAATAAAAATATATCCTATAATAATTGGAAAGAACGTATTTTTGTTATGAAATTCCTTTCCTTTGTATACCTCCAACTTAAAGCATTTTAACATTTTGTCGAATTGTAATTCAAGTATTTATAATTACATATTAGTACATATGAATAAATACAATGTCTTGTTTTTGCATTTAAAATTGTAATTGTATATATTAGTTAATTTATAAATTTTATGAAATAAAAAGGTGACAATCAAATTCATTTAAAAAAAATCTATATAAAAGCAGAATTGGAATGTTGGCTTAATTTAAATTTAGCACGCATCCTAAAAAAGTGTTCTAGTTATATCAAGACCAGGTCATTAAATGCACGATGGAATGTCAATAGTAATCTAAATATAAATTAAAATTAGGGGAAAAAATTCCTTGAAAATCTTAATATTAGCCATCTCCAGTGAAATTGTTAAAAATCAATATTTAAAAACCCGACTAGAACAAAAAATAATAGAATTAAAACACCTTGGCATACTAAATTAAATTAGCATTATTTTAACAAAGTCGACAAGAATCATTGCTATTTATTTGCTTAAATAAAGACACCCTTATTTTAAAAAGAAAAAAAATTAATTTTGAACCTAAATTGAGTGGCTTTTCCAATTCCAGATTATTGAGGATTGATGGATGCTGCGAATCAAGTACCATAGGAGATAGGTCAATACGATTCTCGGAACTTTTGAAAAGATGATTTTCAAGGTTGTCTTTGAAAGGCTTGATTGAGCATTTATTTTCTGGCATGGAGGCTAATAGGCCGTTGTGGTTTTCATTTATTTCGAAGCTGTAAGGATTGCTTTCGGTTTCGTAAAAATTTTTCAAGTCGTTCATCATTTTGGCTTGATGTTGGTTATGAATGACAGCTAAATTTTCTTGCGAAGAAGATAAGGGAGATAGTTGGAATGAGGATTTGGTTTTGGGGGAGGAGGAAAGGGGAGAATCAGAGGGAGAATTTTGGGTGTCATCCTTACTGGAACCCGTGTTGTAAGACGAATCCTGACTTTTCCGCTTTCGATTGAATTTTTTGGCGCTCATCACATCGCTGTTATCTGTTATGATACCACTTTTATCGCCTAATTCGGCCAAATTTTGGATGCCTAAAGTATTAGAGTAATTCCCGTAATTAGCCAGTGTGTTCAAGATATATTCTGGTAGGGATCCATTGATGGTCAAGTTTTGATTGTAAGATAAGGATTGGTGAGGAAAGTTTTCGAATGCTGGTAGGTGTGAGAGTGGATACGTCATAGGAAATTGGTGTTGTGGGTAAAATAATGAAGGGTGAACGATCAAGGGTTGATGAAGTGGGTGATTTATGAAATTATTAATTTTATTATCGATATTAACATATGGCAATTCAGGAACAAAGTTAAGACTCTGTTGATGGTATTGATTGTTAACATCCAAAATATTAGATGTTAAATCTTTGTTATTTTTATCGGTCGCATAAAGGGGCGGTAAACTGAGAGTCTGATGGACCGGAGTGGTCACCGTGCTGTAAAGCCAAAGCCTTTGATGGTATTGACGCAAATTTTCCAATTGTCGCGTTTTCAGGAATTCAGAGTATTCCCTGATTCTCGGTTCCCGTTTCGCATCTTCCCCTCCATGGTCACCCCAATTTAGGGAATTGGTTTCGTTTATACAGCTACTATTGCTGTACTTATCGTTCAAATTCTTAGGGAGACGATACCCATTGACAATTTTTGCCTCGTTCTCCATATCCCCGAAATTCAAGCAGGACAGATTTTTCTGTAAATCAATTTCGTTAAACATCTTGGCCGCTTCTTGGATGATCCTTGACGCTGTGATCGGGTTGACAAGCCCGACCGACGTTTTTAAAGTGGGCGTGACTCTCTCGTTCACTCTTTCATAATTAATCTTTGGTTCACTTTCTTCAATAGGTAATTTTTTCAAGGTTTCGAATTTTGATAGACTGCTGTTCAGGACCGAATTTTGGCCTTCATTGTTAGAGTTTTCCCCTCTGGGATTTAATACCATCATTTTTTTATATGATGATTTTTAATTGAAAATAATATAGATAATTATCGTTTTTAATTTTCCAATGAGTTTGCCGGGTAAATTATTAAGTTTGAAATGAACGAATTTCCATGCGACTTTTCTCGCCCAAATTATATAATTTTTTCGGGCAAAGAATATTTAAAGAAATTAAAATATGTTTTTGATTAAGCGTTTGAACCTCAATAAATAAATGACTTGTTCCTATATATCTATAGAAATAATTAAGGATTAAATAAATAATTAATAGTAAAATATAGTTTAAAATATTATAAAAATTTAAACTTTAAAAAATTTTCCGCAAAAAAATATATTTGAGGCGGGGTGACGATAGCCACAACCATAAAAGTTGAAAATTAATGGTTACATGATATAATTATGCAAAATATCAATAGTCCATTTGAATTATTCATGATTTATTTTTATTATTTTTTCCATTTCATTATCAAGTAAAAAAATTACATTTATACGTTTTATAACCAAATAGGTCACCAGAGAGAAATTGTGGTGTATAATAAATAATAGTTTATTAATATGTACGTTTGGCACATAAAGGTCATTGTGAATGTAGTCAACTCTCAGTCCAGTGGACAAATATTGAAAATAGACAAAGCCGTTACTATTATTTATTATCGTATTTATTTGTATAATAAAATATCTATGGGAAATATAAAGGGATACTACGATACGAGAGAGGTAGATTAAACAAATATAATAAAAAATCTCATTGTCCATTTAATATTTTTATATAAAAGTGGTCATAATTAAATAGTATTATTGACCAATTCAACCTTGAACGATGTCATATTTGTCATACTAATTCCTTTTAATAATAAATGATAAGACCTTTATTTTTTTTACAAATAATGATAAAAATCAGATATACGCCGATACCACAATTTTTGCTAGTGTCGTAAGGCCTAGTAATTACCTCTCATTCACAGTTAGCGCGAATTCGCGGCAAATTACAAATTGTATTTTTGTATTGTTCAACGCGAATTCGCGCTAACTGGGAATGAAAGGTATGGCCGAAAATATACAATAAAATTTTTAGAAAAAGCTGATACGTTAAAAGAATTTAAAATTAAATATCAGTCTGAAAATAAAAACAGGAAAACATGAGGTGTAACTTTTTTATTTTATTATATAAAAATTAAAAAGATCTTTAAAAATTAAACATTTTCATGATAAATTATAAAAATATTCAATAAATTTTGCAAATATAATATTTTTAACGTAAAATTATATTGAAAATTACAATTTTCTATCATTAAAGAATAAAAAGTAAAGAAAAATCCTACAACATCCAAATGTATAGTCAGATAGAATTTTAATAAGTCTGATCGGTAATTTCTAAAAATAACAGCTCAAGCCGGATCGGATTTAGACCTCCCAAAGTTTGGCGAGATCAGTCAACAATAAGAAAAATCTAACACCAAGCTGGAACATAGATCTGATACTATCTTACCATTTAAATACATATAGTATATAAATTAGCTTATTTACCTTATTTTCAAATCATAATCATTATCTATGAATTTTAATCAAAATTTTTTTAAATTAATTATTTTATGTAGAAAATATTAATAAATGAAAATATTTTTTTTTTATTAAATATTAATATTTATTTTTTTTACCTTTTTGACCCTATGAAATAATTTTTGTTTATAAAAATAACATGATAATTTTAAATGATTTTTTAATGATATTTGTAATAAAATTTTTTTAAAATATTTATAGGAATTTTAAAATTAAAGTAAATGCCCTCTTAACAGTGACATTACAAATTTCAACTTGTCTAATTCGAGCATCATTATCAAATTATATTTGATTTGTTAGCGGTTATATCACCATACTGTATCGCAAACGATAATAAAATTATAAAATTCTTATACTTTTGTAATAAAATTTGTAATAATATGAATAATATTTTTGGCCTATATCATTTCGCCCCCTCCTCCTGATTCATCTTTGAACCACAATTAACCTTTCCCTTTTGTGCCATAATAGAATAAAAAATGCATTAATATATGATATTCTTCGTCATTCGTTTTCAATTAAAACATACAAAAGAACAAACTTTTTTAAAAAATATTTTTTCCAATAGATATACACAGATAAATAGTTTTTTTATATTATTCATCGATTCAAATCATTTTCTTTCCATTTCATTTCCCGGTTCATTTTACGCATTAGGTTATAAATATAAAGTATAAATTATATATATTATAAGGTATATAAAATAAATATGTATTTTATAATAGGTCAATAAAATTTTGCAAAAAAAAGATTGCATTTCCCTTCAATGCATTGCATGCACCTCAGCGAAAACGCTCATAATTCGCAGAGTTTAATGTGTTAGGTCGTCAAATGCCAAAGTAAAAACATAATTTGTGTTATTTTTTATATAAATCATTATGGCATGGTAATGGTAATAATAAAATGAAAATTTTAATAAGTTTTTTTTTAATGACAAAACATATTACAATATTATTATGTAATATAATAATATAAAATAGTTTTTATTTCCTTTCTTACTTTTATTTCAGTATTTTATTATTAATTATTAGAATATAGCAAAAAAGAAAAGACGAGAGGCGATAAAATAAAACGCGAAAATAATTGCATTGTCAGTATTTTTTTAATTTAAAGTAACATTTTCCGTCCTTTCAACTTAATTTCACTTTTCGATACTTTATTATAATATTTATACTACTTTATTATAATATGTAGTTTTAAAATTATAAAAAACGCAGAAGTAATATTAACCTTAAAAAAGGTTTTTAATTTCTTAATAATCTGATGTAAAAGGGGAGGGGGGCAGGACTCCTTACAATAATTTTTTTAAATATTGACATTTCGATAAGGGGGAGGGGGATGGATTGAAGCACTAAACTATAATGTTTAAAAATTAAGCATTTCATTCTGACCAAATGCTTTCAAAAGTTTGACAAATAATTAAAGCTGCGTCTTATCAGATTAAAATAAAATTTTCTTAAAATAATTCGATTCAAAATATAATTCGATTTTAAATATTTTACTTGTATATCTGTTAAATAAACAGAAAAGAACAAATTATAAATATCAGATACCTGTAGGCTCAGCTGGAAATTCGACCCTGATGACACTCAAGCTAAAAAAAATTTAAGAGGAAAATCAAGAATATCAATAAAAATGTTGGAAAATCTTATAGGAACCGATCCAAGAAATTATAATTAATTACATTTTGAAAGGAGAGAACAGAAACGTTATAAATACTTTTGAACAGAGCAGCTCATAAAGATGTTGATATTATCAATTTATTTTAAATGATTAGCATAATTTATATACAGTTTGAAAATTTTTTTATGTGTGTCAAATAGACGATGATTAATTTTAAAATCCAAAACTTTTAATAACAGAAAAAAACAATATATGGATTTGTTATCCGGAAAGAATCTATATAAATTCGTTTAAAATTAACCGAAATAGAACTAGCCTGTTTAAAATTTCAAACTAAGAACCGGAATGAACTGAACCGTTATGCTTATCGATCAGACACCCTGCTTATAATAGAGCGTTCAATCTTCATTTACTGGTTATACTTTAAATTCCCCTTTGAAACAATTTATAAAATACTGCCAAAATTTTCATAATAATCAGGGCTGTCATTTGGGATGGGCTTGAAAATAATATTTCATTTTTGCAAATTCATGAGATTCAATATTTTGATTTGGAAAAAACGACAGATTAATGTTTTAAGAAGTAATTGATTTTTGAACTGCAATTCAATCCGATATTATTTAAGACAGCGCTTAACCCGCTTATTACCAAGATGTGATAAACACTTAAATTTATATATAAAAATTTATTTTACTTTAAATAAAATAATTTATTGGTAACATAATTATAATATCAAAAATTTAATAAAAATAATTGCTCTATGTTCGAAAAATAGAATATTGGGAAGTGGATACATCATTTGTTGGTTAAATATAATTTTTAACATTTTATATGAAATAAATATGTCACATATAAGTTGTATTTTTTCGGGTTGTATCGATTTTAAATATAGGATCGGGGATTTGGTTATTTTATGATTGTATATATAATTAGTGTTGTTAAGCACCTCGATTTCGCTAATTTTGAATTAAGATTTTAGCCAAAATAATATTATGTAAGTCTTGAGAATACGAGAAGCCCAACCCTTCTGTCATATATGAACAAAATCGTCAGTCTTGGGTATATTTTGGCTAAAAATATTGGGAAAAATCGAGTCGTTTTACAACACTACTTTAATAATATTGTATTTATTTTATACAGATTCAATATTTTTAATATTTAAAAAAATAATTATTATTTTAAAAGATAGAGTAGTTAGCCACTAAAGATTTTATATTTTTCTTTGCAAAAAGAAAAGGATACAAAAATATCTAACGAGTCAAATTCAGCTAATGTAGTTAAACAGCCCAATTTAGCCAATTTTTAAAAATGGCTAACACAAGATTTTATCCAAAATCAAATTACCAAAGCTTAGAAATTTGCCCACAAACAACATAAAGGTTTAGATTTCTATTGGTGAAATATCAGCTCATATTTTACATCTTTTGGTGAATAAAAAAAGAATATACCCTTAATCGTTCGTGAAAGTTAATTGATCTTTTTAAAATAGAAAATATTGATTTTTATGGTCTTGGTTTAGAGATAGATATTAAATATAAATAGTATATAAATATCCGATCGGTATTGGATCCCTTTCGTAGTAATAATGGATCGAATCGGTAAAAAATTATGGATTGGCACACCCCTAATTTTTTTGTACAATTTACACCATACATGATTAAAATTGGGATATGACTTAATATCACTGTTATCTATCACTATCTTTTTTCCACTTTATCTTTATATTTTATTTTAGATGATTGTATAATTTTTTATTATATTCCTAATTATCTCATCTTCTCCTGAATCCTCCAATTCTACTTATGAAATATTTTGATCGTTTCCTTATTCTTCTGTGAAATATCTTAATATATTTGGAGTTCCCCATCACCTGAATTTGCTAGCCCTCTTAGTAAGCATTTTTTGAGATTTTGATATACCAATTTTACGTTTCATTTTATAATTAACTTTAATAAAGTA